CTTAGTATATATGCAGCTGTTAAATCTGTATCAATAGCTCGGTCGGTCGGTCCCGGCTTACATCTATCTTTCGTATTATGCATATAGCTGTCAAGTCTATACTAATAGCTCGGTCGGGTTCGGCGTGCACTGTGATAGCTCGAGGCTGCCAGGCCTGTTAAGAGCACGTGCACGCGAAAAGAGTACATAGATTTCTCCCACCAAGGAGAACTGAGAAATATCATCCTCTCCACACAACCTGGCTCCCCCCCCACCTTCAAGTTGTACCTATTTTTCGTATTATCGGTATACATGCAGCTATTAAATCTGCATTAATAGCTCGGTCGATTCCGGCGTGCACCTATCTATTATGATACGTATTAATAATACGGTCCTATATATGCAGCTATTAAATATGCATAAACAAAGCCAAGATTAATGCATGCACATGCATATCCACTTATATATATAAATCCCGGCGAAGCACGGCACAGCACGGCATTCAAGCAGCCAATCATTGCTCTCAACGCCAAAGATCTCGTGACCCGTCTCACTTTCGCCGCCTAACCGATTTTACTATGCTCGTCCGGTTTCTCTGACTTTCTCCTTTTTTCCCTACCAGTTCGTGCCAAGATAATTACGATCCCCAGATTTTCAATATCGCCGACCGTCAGCAGCAGCAGCAGCAGCAGCAGCAGCAGCATCCCGACTTTGACTTCGCGCTATTTAAATACAAGCAATAAATCTTTAAATTCCGATCACGATTAATGTATTTTCGCGCAAATGGATTTATCGACGAAAAGCAAAGGGTAGTGATAATAATAACACTAGAAGATACCCGACCACGATGACGACGATGCTGTCACGGCCAAAGCCCCACATAACCGTTTGACATCCGTCGCTCAACATCCGTTTGCAACTCCTTCTCTTCCTTTTTCATCTTTTTTCTCCAACCATCTCTTACCCCGATGCAGGTTTTGACATCTGCGCGCTCTCCACATCTCTCCCCGGGTCGTCGCCCGTTCCCCACATCATGCCCGTCAGCCCGCTGCAGCACGTCTGCCCGGCGGGTTTCGCTCGTTTGCACGACGGCGGGCGATGCGTTGCTGCAGCTATATATTATATGTATATATGCAAGCATATATATATATATATATATATATACGCATGCATAGATCTTCGATACTACATTCCGCATCATTTCATTATTCGAGCTTCTTGCTTCATTCATTCTGCTTCTGCTTTACTACTCGAGCGAGTAAGTCAATAGTAAAGTAAGCAAGCGAGCCTTACACTGATCCATCTCCGTTTGCTTTCGTGTTTCTGCTCGCCGTTTGTCTGTCTAGCTTTTTTTATAGCCAAAACCTATCAAGCCAGCGAGCCTTTTTTCCTCCCCTTCCTCCTTACCCCCTCCTTCTACCCCTCCACGCGATGCTGCATAACAGCCGGCAGAGCGGTAAACCCGACGGAGGAAATGGAAGAGAAAGACTGCACTATCGTCACGTAAAGATCGACATCGAGTTGATGACTTACTTATCGCCCGCCCTCCAACTCCAGATGACAAATCCTATCGTCGTCGTCCGAATTAGAAGTGGTTCATGCACGCATGTGCACATGTATGCACGTATGCGAGTACTAGCTAGGCCCAATCAAGTGCCCTTGGAGCGTTTGCACGCCTTTCTCTTAGCCAGCAAGGTGCTCCGATCGATGGAGCGAACGGTTCGTAGCTCTAGCTTCAATTCAGCTTCAGCCTAGCTTGATCTTGACTATAACCTCAAAATAGAAAAAAAAACAAGCAAATGTACCTTTCCGGACGGAGCGTGTCAGCGTGTCAAAAGAGCATGAACCGGTCTTGATCCTCGTTCGTTTGTTCTCGAGCTCGATATGGCTCGATGTCTTGACTTCGTGTCTCGATTTTACGTCTTTACTACTTCGGTGCTTTTTTAATAGGACAAAAAGACTTGCGTTCGTTTGCGGGTCTAAAGCCACGAGCTTGCTCGTCGTCGGTCTTCGTCCCGTCCTCGTCTCGTCGTCTCGAGAAAGCAGGAATCGGGTCTTTAGACCGGCGTCTATCTTTCACGATCACTTGAACCGCTTGCAGGACCCTTCTTTTACTTATCTACTTGCTAAAGCTAGAATGATTAAGCCGTTGTCTTATGCTTGCTCTTTGATTTGATCTACGAACCGTTCGTGGCCTTGAGGCACGCACGCACGCATGCAAGCAGTCAGGCAGGCAGGCAGGCGGGCAGGGCAGAGCAAGCAGGCAGGCAGGGCAAGGCCGATCCGATCAGGTCAAGTCAGGCTCGGGCAAGTCAAGGTAAGGCAGGTCAAATCAAAGCAAGGCAAGCTAGGGCAGAGCAAGTCAAGTCAGAGCAAGACACGCTAAACCAAAGCAAGTCGGATCAAGTCAAGTCAAGTCAGAGCATGGCATCCACGGCCTCGCATACATGCATGAACCACTTCCTTATTCGGCATCTGCATCCTTCTGCATCTCTTTGCATCACGTACCTGCGTTTCGTTCCTAGCAAACGAGCGTTTGCATTCTATCCTAGTCGTTGCATCGCACCTACCCTAGTCTTTTAAGCCCTACGCTAGTCTTTATATATGCCATCCCAAGTTCAACGAACCGTTCATCGGGTAAGAGCATAGCATAGGGTAAGAGCATAGCATGGCATGAACCCATAGCATGGCAGAGCTAGCATAGCATAGCATGAACCAGTTCGCGGTACTTATCCGTATCCACCTTGCATACTCCTCCTTCTCCTCCTCCTCTTCTTCCTCCTCCTCTCTTTTCCCCTCTCCTCCCCTCCATCTTCCCCCCTCCGTCCCCCGTCTCCCGTCCCTTTCCCCTCGCTATCCCCCCCCTCCCCCCTCCTCAGTCTCAATACAAGACAACAAGAAACCCATACCAAAACAGACCCGACGAACACGTAGCCCTGCTGCTAGACAGATCTCGGTCTCGATGTAAGACATGTATTTTTATATATATATCTATATTTTCATTTTTATTTATTTTATATATATGCAAACGCAAACGCAAACGCATCTATCTACACATACAAATACGATTCTATAAAAGGTACTCAGATCCTTTCTTAAGTTTTCATTTCATTTTAAATATTTATTCGTTTGTTTGTTTATTCATTCATCTATCGCTTTGCCGCGAGAGGCTTACGTTGGATTCATCTTTTTGCGATATCGATATCGGTATCGGTATCGGTATGAAGATGAGCATGGCTGTACCTGTAAGCTTGCCTTTTTTTTGTTTGGTGTTTTTGATGCTTTTATTTCGTCCGTTTATCTTGATCGTCTTGGTCATCTTGGTTATTTCGGCCCTCTCGTGCATCTCGGTCATCTCGGTCATCACGGTTATCACGGTCATCACGGTCATCACGGTCATCTCGGTCATCACGATTATCTCGATTATCACGGTCATCTCGATTATCTCGATTATTTCGATTATCTCGATCATCTCGTCCGTCTCGGTCATCTCGTCCGTCTCGTCCGTCTCGTCTGTTTCTTTTATTTCTTTTACTTCTTTTATCTTTTCCATCTTTTCCATCTTTTCCATCTTTTCTATCTTTTCCATCCTTTCCATCTTCTTTTATCCTTCCTTACTTTTCCTTCTTCCCTCCCTTTCCCCTTTCCTCCTCCCCCCTCCTCCTCCTCCTTCCCTTCCCCTT